ATATATATATATATATATCGTGATAAAGGGAGGAGGGAGGGATGGAGGGGCGAAGGGGAAAAATGGGGTGGGATTAGTTGTAAGTATCGACAGAGGCCGCGTTGAATTAACTCTTTCGTATCGCTCAACCCTGAATCCGATAATAGCGATCGTCTCTCTCGCGTCATTTTTCTAGAGAATTTAGAGTTTATCCTAAGATCGATCGGTATCCTCATTGGCGCGTTTTTTATAACCTAAATCCATCGCCGATAATCAATCAATCGGTTGAAAGATAATTGTCCAAAGTGAATAGAATGTTGATTATCGTCCGCCTCGAGGAAACCGTTCTATTGCCCGTATTACTGTTGCTTGTATTACCTGTTTTGGTATACACAGGCATATCAGAACTCGAGGAAATTGGTCGAAAGTGTCGGTGGCTTTGTGTCGAGGACAGATTCCTATATAGAATTGGCCTTCGATTAAAATATCTTCGTTCTAGATCTAATTTGTCAGTAATCTTAACAACGTTGAAAATTCTTAATCTACGTTTCTTAACATTCTTAGGTCGGTATTCGATTAAATAAAAAAATTATGAATGAAGAATTTGACTTATTCGTTCCCAGTCCTTGCATTTACTTTTTACAGTATCGCATAAATGAAATATTCATCAAATATGTCTTACTTCCAAACTAAATGGTCCTCGATTATCAACATCTTTTTTCTCCCCTTGTATTTCTCGAGATCTTTCTCAAAAATTACTTACAATCTCCGCATCAAGTCGGCCTCGTGGTCTCTTCGCTCGGTAATTCGTAGAGAGCCGTCGAGTTCAGTTCTTGAGTATGTCTTCGAAACGTGGATCCAAAGCTGGTTTCATTGAGCGTGTCCTGTCTACCCACGCGTCTTCTTTGCGAGAAATTTATTCCCCGATTACTGTTCCTATCCGAACTATCTGTCGTCTCCGTTCGACATATTCTTCTACTCCTTCTCGGTAGACAACAACAAAGATATTTGTTGAATCTATAAACAAAATCTCTGTTCATTGATATATACGAGTGCATATATAACATGTGAATTACGAAATTCTATATTTAATGCTAACCTTCACGCTCGTTTGTTTATTTACATTTCTGAGCTGTTTGTTTACATATGTGGGAGGTTTGTTTACATTTCCCGAGTGTTTATTTACTTTTTCGAGTTCTCTGTTTACACCAAGTCTTTTTATATCTTTAATTGTTTGTTTCTATTTGCAGGTTATTTATACATTTATGTTTAATCGCGATAATGAACGAATCTGAATGGAGAATTGTCATCTCATTGAATACACAAAAATTGTAATCGAAGGAATCGAGAAAAGGAAAGGGTCTGTCTTTTCTCTTCTGTTATTCTTATTCATAGGGCGTAAGAGTAGTGTCGTGCAATGGCACTTTTCGATGGACCCTGTGTACAGTTATAATTCATTTATGCCGTTATACTCGCCTCTTGCGAAAAGTCCCGCTGATAAAGTAAAGTGCAATAGGATTGACGCAGCTGTTGATGAAGCTCAGGCAGAAGCCAAGGATCCTGAAGACGTGCCAGAAATCGTCGTAGTCTTGCTTGGACGATGGGCAAAAGTGGAACCATAGCATGAACACGTGATGTGGCAGGAAGCAAATAAAGAAGATAACTACGAATGCTATCACCATCTTGCCGACCTGTTGATCATGTCCATTAGCGATATTGAGAAAATGGATTAATCAAGTCATTAAAAAAAAAAACTTTAATCTCTCGATTTCGAATAATTGTTTCGATTTCAACTTTTGATATTTGATTGCTTACGATAATATTATTACACATTTTTAATCTTTAAACTTTATTTCTAATTTCCTTTTATTAGCAGTCTTGTCTTATCGTAAAAAAAAATAGAGATCGATAGAGACAATGTTGCGAAGAAAGATTGTTTTTTCAGAACGAGTATAGACACTTCACTTCACGAAAAATAAAAAAGCGATAACGGAAACTCGTTCGAATGAATCGATTATTTCGATTGCGTCTTCGAGTGGATTGGCAACAGATAGCGATTAAATTGAATTTCGTCCACGCGTAATTCCAAACCGATATCTAAAAAATTAAATTTGGCTTTAGATCGACGTATTCATAAGTTAATCGATTACATTAATTGGATGGATTGTTCCACGAGATAACAATGTTCGATAACCAAACACGATTTTTCGAAACGAGTGTCGGATAGTTTCTTGTTATCGGAATGGATTAGGGAACGGCTGAATGGATTCTACGAATGAAAACATGGAAGAAGTAAAAGTAAGAAAAGTGGTTGAAAGGTTTCATCGTATCTCCAGTTGCCACGCTTCGATGCCATCCTACGTTGAATGATTCAAACCGAACTGGAGCATCGAATTGATTAAAAAAGTCACTTTTAAAATATACGATAAAAATTTTATCTCGCAGAATATTTCACTGTGCATTTATTCAATAGTGAAAGTAATAAATAAACGATTTATAAATAGAACGATATAGAAAAATAAATAAAAGAGAAAGCGAATTTCCCTCGAAATAAAAAGTGCGATGCAAAAATGAATTTTCATTCCATATCACGTACAACAAACAAATTATTAAATGATGCGAGGTTGAATCAATTGAAGGAAATTGAAGCATTAGCTTGTCGTGAAACTTGTGGATGTAATTCAAGATGATCGACCGTCGCTTTTCATTCGGATACAATGTGGAAAGTGTAATAGCTTCCATCCCAACGATGCTTTAGAACAACTCTATTCACGGTGATTTATAATTGGCCTTTTCTCTTTCAGAAATTATTGGACTTGGCTTGCTTTACAGAGGCTTAACCGTCTATCAATTTAAACTTATATCGCTTAACCATTTATCCCATCACATACGAAAGTTACTCTGCAACTATTATACATGCCAACCAATACTACTTCGATGAAAATTATCGATAAAAATTTGGATTTTACGTATAAACATTATTTTCTTCTTTTCATCGTACCTTCTTACGTGCTTTAATTTGTTCCATACGATGACATCCGGTGGACAACTCGCCTGGCATATTCCTGGTGGATAGTTCGAGGTGTCGTGCCATCCCCAGATAGAATCCAGTTATCACTAGCAACGGTATCGCATAGTAAGCGAGGAACTTGAACATCACCATTCCCTTTTGATAGCTCTGTCCTGCGATCCGGAACGAGATATATATAAAAACGATACATACGATACATACGATACGATTTGGTGCATATGACTCGAGATAAATATTGAAATATTGATCGTAAATAATTTTTGTTTTTTTTTTTTACTTAAATGAAATATTCGTTTCCCAGATAAGGGATATTCATTTGACGTGAAATACTCACCGAATTCCTCGGGGAAGGGACTACAGATCAGGATAGAATGATTACTCTGTAACGGTACGGTGGGCACGTAAGAGAAAAAGGCAGCTGGCATCGCCAAAACAATTGCCAGCACCCAAATAAGGCAGGCTGTTAATATCGTTAATGGTTTTGCACTGAGCCCGGCTACATGGCGGCGAATTGGATTCACGATGGCACAGTACCTACGGCGC